AAAAAAAAAGATTTTTAATATTTTTATGGTTTATTGTCCTTTTAAGTTGTTTATTTACAATGGACTTATTATATACACATTAATACAATTTGAGATATAAAGGTTGTAGTGATGTACAGCAAGGTGAAATGCTCTAAAAATGGCACTACAGCATTTACTTGATTTACACTACATTTGTTTAACTTGATTTATTTGCAAAGACGGCATTTGACCATGTCACAGTTTGTAGTGAACCATAGACACGCCTCACAGCTGCGATACGTGACTGCTAATTTAGAAGCAAGCCTCCTCCAAACATGGAATGAAGACTCCTTGCCTTTAGGAAATTTGCATGTTTTAAACATCAGCTGTTATTTAGCTCACAGTCTTCTGTGATTACTGAATTCATTAGAGCACTTTTTCTCCCAAATTCTGTGTTATATGTGCTCAACCACAGACAAATTCATTACACTGTTGTAGCAAAGTACACAGCACAGTATTGGGAGAAAAACCTACATTGAATATACAGTACAATTAACCCTACGGCGAGCTGAGTAACCTTACATGAATTACACAAGTTTCCAGTATTACAAGCATCTCTGAGATGACTGGACGTGACGGAGAATTACGAGATAAAAGAAGCAAAGTGTTGCAGAGACGTTTTGGCTCCGGTATCCGTGGCCACGTGTCTGTCTGGTGATTCAGCTCGCTGTGATTAAGCAGAAGGCCTGGGAGTTAATACTATGACTCACTTACGCTGCTCATCCTCCTCCTCAACCAAACCCCCCACACCTCAACTTCACCCACACCATGTGAGAACACCTTGGATAAAACTGGAGCCTGATCATGATTTTTACTAGTAGATACAATGTTGTGGCGAGGACGTCTTTCACGTGTGAAACCATACATGATTTCCACACAGTATTTTGTAGGACGAAGACATTTTTTCGATTTCTCTTTTCTTTTGCTTTGATTTGTAATTTATGCATAATCCCGCCTCCCCTTTCACACGCGCCTCGTTTCTCCGCTGGCGCACACTGACACACGTGTACTATGCCAGGTTGGCGAAACCCAATTCTCCTAGGTCCCTCAGCACTTGACTCAGTTTCTATCCAGAACCTGATGGAGGATGGATTTGAGGAGATGCGGGGGGGATAGGGCTGATGGAGGATGGATTTGAGGAGATGCGGGGGGCGACGAGGGCGACGTCCTCATTCAGTCAACGCTCAGCAGCAGCGGGGGGATGAGGCGCCATGATCCCTTTTTAACCATTTTTATTCCCAGTGTTTCCTGCTCTCTCTCTTTCATCTCCCATGTGTATGTGTGTGTGATCATTATTTTTTACATAAATTGCCAGGGTTGTGGTCCATTTATGCTCAACACATTTGTTGCTTTTGCACCAATGTGACATCATCACGCAGCCACGTCCATTTATAGTCACTGTTACGACATTTTGGTCCGTTTTCAAATCTTTCCCAGCACCGTTGCAGATCTTCCACCAGGAGTTCGGTGCCATATGGGCATCGTATAAATGCCTGTACAGGTGGACTCGTTCACAGTCTCGCCTCAAGCTTGTCTATTTTAAAAAATAGCTACAGTAGCAAACAAGCAAGGTTGCAAAAACTGAGAGATGCATGACCTGCTGGAGCGACAACAGAGCACGACTTGTGCTTGCAAGCAAAGAAACAAAGAAGTAGCAAAAACTGCAGTTCCTTAAATGGCCACTTGAGGCTGGCTCCGTCCACACGTAAACGGCATTTTGGGTCACGGAGATTTTTAAAGACTCCTTGCAGGGTGGAGATTTTCGAAAACTCAGTTTTTGCGTTTAGGAATGGACGAGGAAAACGGAGATTTACTCACGCAACGTGAAAGGTGTGCGCCATTTTTTTTTACGCCATGCTGCACGCGATGTTATTGTTTACAGGGGTTAAATTTCTACAGTGGCGGTTAATCTGTTAATCTGACTATCTGCAGTTTTTACACACTTATGCAGTTACTGTTCCTCCATTTAGAAAGTCAGAGGCGTCAGAAAAACAAACACTTTCCAGAAGTACTTAAGGTTTTGTGAGGGTACAAAACCCTGCTTACTCTTTCCATCCCAGGCTTCTAGACTTCTGATTGGCCAACATTTCGTTTTTAGCCTTTACATGTGGACGGAGATATTTTTTCAAAACTGCATGTGTGGACGGGATTTTAAAAAAAAGCTAAAACTGAAAATCTCTGTTTATAAAAACACCCGTGTACGTGTGGACGTAGCCTTAGCTTTGCATTCATGCAGTTTATAAATGCAGCTTTTTAACCAAACTAGCTGATAAATGACTTCTCCACCCTTTCATCCATACGAGGACACTTTTCACTCCCAAACCAATGGATGACATCACAGTGCTACACCCATCCTTTATACTGTCCACGAGCAAAATAGATGGATTATAAATATATTGGTAGCTCTGATTTCTTGCATCTTAATAGAGTTCTAATGTCCCCTTGTTTTATATTTTAGTGAAGCTGCTCATGCTTATATGTTGTCTGCTGCTAACAAATATACTTCTATATACTTAGTGCTCTAACATATTAAGAGAGTTGATTTTAAA